TTTTAGTTATTTGAAAATATTGCACATGGGGTTGAAACTGAATGTTTTGTTTGCCGTTATTTTCTATTGTTCATGATGGCTCTTGGGGGAAAAAGCTGACCCTGAGCCTATCAGGACAAGTTCTGTCAAACCAATCCTTTTTTTGATGCTGGCGATAAAAATGACTAGTGAGACGTTATCAMTGTTGGTCTTGTCGATTTAAAATGCTGTACAACTTTTTTGCACCACTTGTTAAAACATTTAAAATACTTGGGTATATTGTATGTATTGAGGCTCTATGTGTAATTTTAACCTRTTGCAGATTAGAGAAAATCTACAATAAATTCAAACTCATGCACACAATTCTTATTTTAAAAAAATCCTTGAGATTGAGTGGTATTTAATCATTCCACCCTGGAAAAAAAACTATTTAAATAAATTTTTAACAGTATATAAACTTCTGATGGCAACAGTTTTTCCCAGAATTGCTGGCCTGTTCCTTTAGTGTATAAAACAAGCTCGTACAAAGAGCAGCTGTAACTGTTGACTGTGCTATGCTGCATCTCACATTAAACAATCTGGGTCATTTTTTTAATTTTAGATTTTGTATTCACTGGCAGCAAAGTCAGCTCCCCCCTGTTGTGCTGAGGTAAGCCTCTTAAAAGACGAGTCGGGGCGTAATTCATGATTAATACAGAAACCCCGCCCCAAACCCCTCTGTTGGATTTTATAAATGCCATTCAGAGGGTGGTAGATTATTATTTTTTATTTCTGTTTTTAACTTGATATAGCTTTGGTATCGTCYCTCATCAGAGTCTTGTCTCTGTTTCTGCAGTTCCCTTTTGAAGACAACATGTTCCAGTCACTCTTCTATCCCATCCAGACCAAGTTCCTGGACACGGTTAACACCCTGTGTGGTCGCATTCCTCAAGTTTTCCTCAAGCAAATAGAAAAGACAATGAGGAAGGTGTTTGAGGAGAAAGTGGTGCGCAAAGTCAGGCGGGACAAATGAGATGAAACTGGACTCCYTGGGGATTCTGTGTCGTTTCAGCCTCTTTTGGACCGAGCTGCTTGTTTGCACTGTTCAGCACATAAACCCTCTGGGAATGAGGGTCTCATTAATGCTCTGATACAGTGTGATGGTGTGGGGACTGATACACTGCTGATCAGTGATGCAACACAATAGTTTTGGCTTTACTTTAGTCGAATTTTATTCCGATGTAGGGGTGATGAAGAGCTTCAGAAGACGGTGCGATTTGTTTGATGGTTCTGATACAAAGGTATACGCTCATCTCAAAATGTCGAAGGAAAAAATTTAAAGCATGCTTTGATCAATTGTACAAAGATATCTACGTGTATTTTTCTTTCAAGTTATTTGAAATATTTTTTCTAGTGTTCAGACTGAATCAGATTTTTGAGGGATTTACTACATGAAGTAAATACAGAAACCATATTTTCAGAATTATGAATGTTTTGACAGCAACTTGAAATGTAAGCCTGTGTGAATGAGACAAACCTTAAAGGGATAATCTGGTCATTTTTGAAGTGGTGGTAGTACCATCAGACCCAGAAGATGGAGTATTTTATTCATACTATATATATACTATACTCATACTCTGTGCTCTATGACTGAGTTAGCTGATAAGGTACTAACTGTTGATAACTATTGTTATCCCTTTAAAAGGCATTTTTGCATTGTAAGGCCCAGCCAGCCCTGGCACCAGTCACTTGGCCTTATTGTACCTCGGCCCTGATTGGGTTTAAACAGAGTGCTGCCTCATTGTGGGCGGGATCATGGTATTAAACATGCATAAATCTTTTTATTTATTTATTTTTTGTGAGGCAACAGTAATGGACTGCAACAAACTCTAATGAAAAGTACCGAAGTCTGTACCAAYCTGACCAGCAGTATGACACTTAAAGGGATCCACAATTATTGTAATATTAGACTTTATTTGATAAACGTTTATTTTAGCTGTAAAATAAAGACTGTAAAAATACTGTAGGATGTTCAGTTTTTATCTTTTTAAACTAAAAGTTTAAAAATATATTACACGGACGGGGCCATTTTATTTACATGCAAAGCATTCTGGGTAAATGATGACGTGGATAGGTCCTCGGTGCAAGACTGCTAGCGAGCTATATCCACCCTGAAGGTTAATCTTGGACAATATCTGATGATCGACTCTTTTAAATGAAACCAGAGAGCGTTGACAGAGAGGAGAAGGTAGAAATGACTCAGCCTGGAACTGAAAATATGGATGGAGGACCTCAGTTTAGCTTGTTTGTCGCGCTAGTGCCGAGCTAATACTTATAAGGCAAAAATAGCGTCGGCGCTAGTGCAAAGGCTAACAGGCTAAGCTGAGGTTCTTCTTCCATGAAGCAGCTCTGTTGTCCTCCATCRATATTTTCAGTTACAGGCTGAGTCATTTCTACCTTCTCCTCTCTGTCAACGCTCTCTGGTTTCATTTAAAAGAGTCAATCATCAGATATTGTCCAAGATTAACCTTCAGGGTGGATATAGGGATATAGCTCGCTCACACCGAGGACCTATCCACGTCATCATTTACCCAGAATGCTTTGCYTGTAAATAAAATGGCTGCGTCCTTGTTAAAATATGTTATTAAAAATTTACAAAACTAAAGAGGCTACAGTATTTTTAGTCTTTATTTTACAGTTAAAATACAGGTTTATCAAATAAAGTCTAATGTTACAACTTATCGTGGATCACTTAAAGACAAGAGGGCAGGACAAAGCCAATGCTATCTAATGTTAATGTTTAGTATTTGTTAAACTCTTTTTTAAAAAATAAGTTACAGTCGCCGCAAATGATTCACGTAAAGTTACTTTCATTTGTGAAGTAACACCCCCACCCACCTGTCCATGAACCAATCAATGAGCAGCAGTAGCCATTAAAAGGGATGGAACTACGGGTCTTGGGGTTCCAGAAACCAGCGTGGAACTGGCTCATAAGGGCTAATGCAAACACACCGAACCTGAGTTAGAAGCCAGGCCGGCCCAGCTTTGCAGCACAAAAATGACCAGAATATCTCTTTAAATTCTGGGGAAAATTTCTGCAGTTGCCAGATGCCACTGTCAGTGTTAAATACAGCACAACAAATATTTTTTATTGTTATTGTTTGTTATTTTTATTTTTTACAGATGCACTTTGCGATTTTAGGACTGTGTATTGTCGCTTTTTTAAGGAATGTCCACATTTAACTCAACCCTGCTTTGCTGAGTCGAACCAAAATGTGCAAGGTTGTTTCGTGGTGAATTGTTACAACTGATGATGTGCCATAAAAACATTATTGTGTGCCGTGTTTACTGTTAAAAGCAAATGAGATGGTGAAGGTGTATATGTGTTTGAGGGCGTATCTCAGCTTGTACTGTGATAAATGATCAGTCTTAAGTTTCTGTTACTTTGAATGTGGTGTTGGAACGTATTGTGTGTCACATCTTCCAACCTGGAAACTGAAACTGACCTTTTGGTCTAACATCTTTCTAAATAAAACAATGCAATGTACTGAACCTGTTTTCACTGACATGCTGTGCTTGTGAATGGTGAGTAATGCAAATTAATGAACTTCATTCCTCTGTGTTCATGACGAAAAGACCTGCTTTGATGGTCTTTTCTGTTTATGCTGTTTGAAATGTATCTTTTTATTTTTTGACAGTAACAATATTAGCATTATTTCAACCTTTAAGGCCGGGTTTCTCCAACTTARTGGGTCTGAGGACCCCTTTATAAAGGTGAAAATATTCCAGGGACCCTCTCATAAACCTCATGRTGATTTACTGCCATTTGAGAATCATTACTGTTTATTTGGTTGAGCAAGTTTATTTTACTGGTGCATTYTTCCCCTTATGCATTTTTGATTTTTTTTTAATGAAAAACAAAATTAACAGTTAGTTACTATTTTTTTTGAGGACCCCCCCAAGTAATAGCTTGCGGAACCCTAGGAGTGTTGGGACCCCAGTTTGAGAAACTCTACTTGAAGGTATCAAAATGTATAAGGATTATGACTTTTGTTTTTGTAACCTTTGTACTTTTTGACATACAATGTATTTGATCAAAGTTAGAGATGTGACGTTTGTGAACGATCCAAATCTTTTGAACAGCTCCTTACAACGAATGAGAGGAACCGAGTTGTGGGCAATAAAGAACCATTAATCGTTTTATTTAGAATAGAATAGAATCCGTCTTTATTGTCCCACACAGGGAACTTCAGGTGTAATAGCAGCAGCAGATACATACATAATCAACATAAACAGTATATTGCTATGTGATATTATCAACAAGTAATAATAACATAATTAAAGATAGTAACAATATAAAGAAACAGAATGAAATAAGAATAATAGTTACTGTACCGGACTATTGGATAAAAATGAAATTAAAGCAAGATACTGTGCAGAAAAATACAAAATTACAAGATAAAACCGTCATGACAGACTCCTGATCTGATAAATTGAGTCGAACTCAGTCATTATGTTAGTGTTCCAGTATAGGAAAAAATGTATACAATTGCCACAAGTTATTATTTATGTAATGATTGAGAGGTATTTATTTATTTTTTATTGATCATTGTAATGTCTTTATTTATTCCTCCTTACACAGAAACAATTGCTNTTCAGGTGTAATAGCAGCAGCAGATACATACATAATCAACATAAACAGTATATTGCTATGTGATATTATCAACAAGTAATAATAACAGCATTAAAGATAGTAACAATATAAATAAACAGAATGAAATAAGAATAATAGTTACTGTACCGGACTATTGGATAAAAAATGAAATTAAAACAAGATACTGTGCAGAAAAATTCAAAATTACAAGATAAAACAGTCATGACAGACTCCTGATCTGATAAATTGAGTCGAACTCAGTCATTATGTTAGTGTTCCAGTACAGGAAAATATATATACAGTTGCCACAGGTTATTATTTATGTAATGATTGAGAGGTATTTATTTATTTTTTATTGATCATTGTAATGTCTTTATTTATTCCTCCTTACACAGAAACAATTGCTCCCCCTTCATTTTTTTTCACAGGAGACAGGTGGAGTACAGCAGCTCAGGGCAACATGTTCCGCTTGACAAAACACGTCTCCTTGTGCATTTATTTAGCCTTTTTATGCATTCTTGTATTTTTCAGTGTCAGGCTACTACAAACTTCAAGAGATGCAAGACGTATGTTTCCACTGACTTGGTTATGAAATGTTTTTTGCCTCATGGAAATTTTATACTCAAAGTGAAACTATAGTGTGAACTCCTTCAACTGCAGCACGTCACCCACAAACAAAAACAACTGTTTATTTTCTGTTCACGATGGAGGAGTTGGAGGAGAAAGATTTGGTGTGTCTATTGCTAACTGAGGAGAAGCAATTTTTTTTGCAAATTTATCACAAAGTGACTGCTATGGTTCCTAACAGTTGTTGTTGGGAAGCTTCCCTTTCTCCCACCCAGCACGGTGATGATTAGCCGCCTGTGTCTCTGCGCTGTCGCCTCTACACAACAGTTGTGCAATCTCTTTCCATAAGTTCTTTGTATTATCTGGCTATCTTTGTATGTTTTATGTGAAATATGTGAAAGATTTTGGCATTTCTCATTGATGAAAAATCAGCCTTTATGCTTCCTATTTGTGTTTTTTATTTTCTCTTATGCATCCATTTAGTGTAGTGGCCTTTTTGACTTTGTATCTTTCTTGTCTTTTTTATCTTGAGTCCTTTTTGAATTTTTACGTATTTTGTGTTTGTATTTCAATAAGCAAACTTTTATTCTGTACGTTTCCTTAAGTGCTTCTTTTCTTTTCCTTTGTATTTGATTCTTTTTCTTTTTTTGTTTCTATAAGTAACTTTTTTTGTGTTTTTGGTTTCCTTGTGCTTCCTTTTCGCGTTTYTATGTCTCTTTATGCTTTTCACATCTCAGCTTTTTCTGTTCTTTCTTTCTTTTTCTTGAAATGTTATAAACTAATGTTGAAGAGTCAGCTGTCATTACTGTCACAATCAACTTCAGCAAATTGTTGCAGTCATTCAGTGCTCAGCAGTCACATTGCTTATTTGCAGAAAATGTTTTTCTACATTTACCATTGACTTGGAGTCCCCAAAAAGTAGCTGCAATGTTTTAATATTTTAATAACTTAATTAGTAAAATAAAAAAAGCTGAGTTCACCATCAAACCAGACGTGTAACACAATATTATGGTAAATTAGTAATTTTGAACAGGTGCACTCTGATGTGATTTCTTTTAATTTATCCTTTTTACATGTTAAGCCTCGGGTATAAGCTCATTTTGAGCSCAGTTTGAGGTGATAAAGATGAGTGCAGCTGTGTCTGTGGAGCAGGCAGCGACCTRTCGGCGCCATGTTGAAATGCTCTCTCCTCGTTGCCTGTGAGCCAGCCTCTAGCTTAGCAGCAGCACTTAGCCACCAGTCTGACTGAGGGCAACGACGTGATGGAAATTGACTCGCTTGAAGAGGCGCTCAGAGGTCACGTACTGCTTTATTCTTTTCGATCGGATTGTATTGATTAAGACATCTTGATAAATACGTTATTTACATAATTGTTGTAAAGTGTTAATGGGTGCTACATTAGAAGCTAGTAGCCAGTGCTAACAACAACGCTAGCTTACGGAAACCATTAASTGTCGAATATATTAGCTAGGATTCAAAGCCAACAATGTTTTAGTTATTTATTTACGAACCGGTATGTGTTTTTCTTTCTTTTAATACATTGCTAACCAGTATTTTAAATTCGGTATTAGCTCAGTGGCCAAGGTTTTTACCAATGTGCCGGTTTCGGCTAACTTAGCATAGGCGATGTGCTAAAACTTGAATTAGTTTTTGATGCTAAGCGATTTAAACCAGATTAAATCAATATACCAGGCTGATAAAATAATCAAACCGAACACGTGCCGTCGATGGCTGATTATTTAAACGAGTAAAGCAGACTGATAGGAGACGAAATCTGCTTCAGAGGCAGTTCTGTAATAAATTGTAGCTTTGGGCTAACARAGAAACCTGTTCGGCTGTCTTGGTTTTATTGTCGTGTTTACTTTTATTCATGCCGTGCTTCATTCTGTCCACCTTCAGATTTTGACAAGAAAACTAAAAAGGAACCATCCCCCGTTCTGGAGCAGTTTTTATGTCATGTTGCCAAGACTGGACAAACCATGTAAGTAAAATTAAAAAAATAAATGCAGGCCCTTGTTGGTTGTTGAACAGTGTCATTTGTTTCATTCATAACTACCGTTTACACTGTCATTTGTCTGTGACTGCTTAGTGTAATTGCTAACGTGAACAAAAAGGCTGTWCTCAGTGTGTCTATGTTGAGTGATGTATGTACAATTTGCACCTTTATGAGGATAGTTGTAGTACAACTGTGTTCACACACACAGATGGCACAAGACYCAACTGATTTACAGTGTCGCAATTTTTTTTCGAACTGCCCCAAATTGATTTACAAAAATGCAGAGGTGTCAAGTAACTAAGTACAAATACTTAAAGTAGAAATGTTGGTTATTTATTAGGGGTGTAAGAAAATATCGCAATATTTCATTTCCCGATACTGTATCGATATTCTAAAGTCCTGTGTTGATTTTTTATTAATG